GCCTATCTTTAAACGTTAATATCTCGTTAAATATTGCGTCAACTGCAAAATGGTACAAAACTATTTTGTTCCCCTTGATCCAATTTACGTCCCCATTGTATTTCGATCCGTTTTTTTGAGACACTCTGTATATGGATCTAAAGTTGTCTATAAAAATACTATCCTAAGTAAAATTAGGTGTTCTAAATAAATTTCTAAGAACTTTTCAGTAAACACGAACTTCAATATTACAATTTCACATTTTACAATTTAAATATATATAACACATGGGTTACATAACTGCAATTACATTGCAAATTGCAAAATTAATGTAACTATTTTATTGATGTTATGTCACTTTTAATTAATGTTTACTGTGTTATGTCTATTGCATATTAGATGCAATAGGCGATGAAAGACGAGAGATATCCAATGAAAGCTCCGCTTTTCTGCACGTGACGATAAATAGCAGAATTCTCATCTCAGATATTGCTCGTTGCTCATCGCGTCCAGTGACTGTGCAGTAGGCATTGCAATTGTTCGTAACGAGTTGCATAATGTTTGCAATTTAAAATCTTTTCTCAAGATCTCATGTTTTCGAAATGCAATGTATATTAAAGAATTCACTATGTTTCGACGTTTAGGAATTTATTTAAAATTTTCCTCAATAAACCCCGATTGAATATCAATGTCAAGAGAACAAAAAAAGGACTATTTTCTGTAGCTGAACTACACTTTTAGAATTTAAAGTGAAATAGATATATATCTGCTATTTCGTAAAAGCGAGAAAATTTTTCTAATGCACTCTAGTGCAGAAATAAAAACAGACATAAAATATTAATAATAAATAATAATACACTAAAGCGACTAACCTGAAATTATTCGTCATCGACTTCAGTCATTTATTTCTTTTATGTTACTGTGCCGTTTCGTAATGTCAACTTCGAAATGATAACGTAGAACAGAATTTACGGGCTTTATACTATATATATCGGTATCAGTCGATACATTCATTTATTCATTCATTACAGGCTTTGTATCAATAAATGTTAAGAATACCCTGTTTACCTCAAATTTCGATAAAAATATACTCAATTGATGCGTTTTCGCATAAAAATAAACAAATTTGATAAGAAAAAGCGTCGCCCTGCTTTATAAATCGTAATATATCAATCGTTTAAAGCTACTTATGACGACCATTCAGATTAGGAAATCTGTCACAGCCACGTAATACTGCGTCATGAGTATGCACTGTTATCACTTGTCCAACATCAATTAATTCCTAAAAATAAATATTCTCTGCTTTAATTATACAAATTCTTGGCTTTAAAAACAAATTCTCTGCTTTAAAAACACAAATTATTTTTCCGTATAATTCTTGTTTTTACGGAGAATTTGTTTTAGCGGAGAATTTGTTTCTAACACAGAGATAACTTGTGATTTAAAACAGAAGATTTATGTTTTTAAAGCAGATAAAAAAACACGGCGAAAAACACCTAAAACGCATATGCATGTGGCCGTAGAAAATGTAACCGCAAGGTATGCTCGCATTGTTGTATTTCATAGCTATGATCTGTGATAATTATCCAACTCGAATAGTCATCAACTTTAACGATTATTAAATTATTATCTCGATTTTTAGGGCAGAACGACTTTTTCCTTGTCAAAACTTTATTTTTACGCGAAAACGCATCGATTGAGAACAATATTTTTATCAAAATTTGATGTGAACGGTTGTTAATTCTTAATTAACATTTACCAAACAATAAATAATAAATCTATAGAGCAATGATAAGACGATAACACATGCAACTTTTTCCGGTGCAGAAGATATATTGACGTCGTCGCATCATTAAAAAAAATTGCACAGTAAACGTTATCAAATTACGACATCCGTGCAAATCTTCGTTATCTATGATTAGTTTCTATCTTCTCTGATAGACAAATTGTAAAACCATTCTACAATAATGGCCACGAACTGACGAAAAATTTTAATTCCGCTAAGATGATTCACCATAACGTGACAGTTTTATCAAAATAAAATTTCTAAATGATTCTTTTTATTTATAAAACAACACAGTTCAAAATCAGAGAAGAATGCATTTCGTTGCAAGATATACAGTACGACTTTATTATACAAATAACAATATATTTTTTATCAGGCGACGCAGGATCAATTAGAAAACCATCATATAGGTAAACATATATCCAAGTAGAAAGCAGAAGTCATGAGGACATCATCATGACCTCATTCATCATTTATAAGTCAATTTTTAAATATCAAATGACGTCATGATGACGTTCTGTGATACCATTATGACTTAATTATGACTCCATGTTCTATCTGGGTATAAGCAACGATAAAGGATCAGTTATAAATTTACGATATTCTTTTATTAAATTATTGACTAACAATTTGCAATTTTGGATTCAGCAAAAAATTAAAAAAAAGTTTAAAAATTTATGCAGACCGTATCCACCTAAATAAAAGTTTGTAGAAAGCAGATTTTTTAAATGTCTGTTACACACTATGCCAACAAAATAGCAACAGAATTGTTACAGAATTAGATGTACATACATAATACTACTGACAGACTGCTAGAAAAAAACATAAGAATCAGATAATTGTCGGCAGGATCTACTCAGTTTTTGCCAACAATTTGCCTTCATATTATGTCCGCGATAGACGATGTTAACAGAACACAAGTCTAATGCGGACGCAGTTGATGGCAAACTGCCGTCATTTTCTTCTTGAATCTGCTGACAGTCTGCTAGAAGACTGCAGACATTTTGCTATCTGGGCAGATAACAAACTGCAGTCATTTTGAAGTCGATACGTCGATAGTTATAGATTGCGTTTCGTTATTCACTGTCAGTACTGACAATATGACGTCATAAAATAGTATTGCAGAAGCGTTTTGAAATTACTAATAGTACTTTTATGACGTTACAACGTTGCATAATGAAACGGATTTAGTAGTACTTGGTAAGACTGCGTAGAAATAAATAATTTTTTAAATTTTAATAAAACTTGGAATTATTAATTATATTCATACCTTTGCGTGCTTTTTCTACTTTATTCACTAATATGTCATTTTCGACATTATTCGTTTCGACATCTAAAAAACAAATTTTTTCCTGATTTTCTATTTCGTTGAATTTTGCCATCTTTTTACTGCGATTGCCTGACCTTGCCAGTCGCAGTAATAGAAATAGGAAGTGACGCAAAAATTTATGACGTCATATAAACGCAAAAGTATATTGGAAGTTTACTGCGATATATTTTGGAACGGCATGTGCAATGCTGCCAGTACTGACAGTGAATAATGAAACGCAGCCATAGTCATTTTGAATTATTGACGTCATGTGATCTATTTAAGATGTAATAATGACGTTATTTTTTTTACCAATTAATGACGTCATTTATCGCATTTATAACGTATTAGGTGTACAAAAAAGTTCTGAGCTTTAGATTTCATACAACCGAAATAACAATTTAAATTTTATATATCTTCCCGCCCTTTTGCGGTTTTAAAACGTTAACATTTGGCCTTCTAAAATGCTATACGGTTTGGCGTTTGATGCACATAACCTCAAAAATCAGTAGTGTTCACGATGGCAATAACAAAAGAGCATATTCGATTTTCCGTCCATTTCGCGTTTCATCTGAAGAAAAATGCTGCT